GCTTTCATGAAATATTTCTGTTATTTTTTGCTGTACGACTTGAAATTGTGCGACATGTTGGAATGCTCAAACCGTCCGGAACGTTTTATTTATATATTCATACTAATTTCCTATTGCCGTTCGCGGAATACTTATTAATTACCGGTTGCCGTACGCGGATTTTGCATTCGCCGATCGACGTTTTCTATGCCCGTTAAAAATTAAATTCAAGGGGGATTTTTTTTGGTTTTAGGGGGGAAAAAGCACACTTTTTGTGTCGCCTTGAAAAGGTGACATATAGGGATTACTTTTGTCGGCGGTGTCGTTGTCGTTGTCGGCGTCGGCGTCCCCTAAAGCTTGTCCGGAGCATAACTCAGTCACTATAAGTCCGATTGACTTCAAACTCGGTATGCATGCTTCTTTCAATAACCCGAAGTGCAGTGCACAAGGACCGGTACTCTGCAGTTCTTATTTTTTGAGTTATTGCCCTTTGTTAATTTTCATACTTTAATTTTGTCCGGGCCATTTCTCTTCAACTAAAAAAGCTATGGACTTGAAACTTCATAGGATGATAGATCTTATTAAGAAGAAGTGCAGTGCACAAGAACCGGTACTCTGCACTTCTTATTTTTTGAGTTATTGCCCTTTGTTAATTTTCATACTTCATTTTTGTCCGAGCCATTTCTCCTAATGTATAAAAGCCATGGACTTGAAACTTCATAGGATGATAGGTCTCATTAAGAAGAAGTGCAGTGCACAAGAACAGGTACTATGCATTTCTTATTTTTTGAGTTATTGCCCTTTGTTTATTTTCATACTTTAATTTTGTCCGGGCCATTTCTCCTTAAGTATAAAAGCTATGGACTTGAAACTTCATAGGATGATAGATCTCATTAAGAAGAAGTGCAGTGCACAAGAATCAGTACTCTGCATTTCTTAATTTTTGAGTTATGGCCCTTTGTTAATTTTCATACTTAATTTTTGTCCAAGCCATTTCTCCGAAAGTATAAAAGTTATGGACTTGAAACTTCATAGGATGATAGATCTCATTAAGAAAAAGTGCAGTGCATAAGAACTGATACTCTGCATTTCTTATTTTTTGAGTTATTGCCCTTTGTTGATTTTCTCACTTTATTTTTGTCCTGGTCATTTCTCCTCAAGTATGAAAGCTATGGACTTCATAGGATGATAGATCTCATTAAGAAAAAGTGCAGTGCATAAGAACTGATACTCTGCATTTCTTATTTTTTGAGTTATTGCTTTTTGTTGATTTTCTTACTTTATTTTTGTCCTGGTCATTTCTCCTCAAGTATGAAAGCTATGGACTTTGAACATCATACAATGATAGATCTTATTGATAAGAAGTGCAATGCACAGAAACTGCTGCTCTGCACTTATTATTTTTTTAGTTATTGCCCTTTGTTATTTTTCATATTTCATTTTTGTCCTGGCCATTTCTCCTAAACTACATTGTTTACAAGGCGACACATCCGACTCGCGGAGTTCGAGTTTGGTGGGGGAATGGGGCAAATATTTGGCCCCATATTTTACCAAACGAGAGCCCTGTGTTATAATGTAAGCAAGTCAATGTTGTTGTTTTTTCTTCTTGAAAATTGCAGTCAGTTTTTGATAGAAATTAACAATGTGGTTTTAATGATAATTAACAAAATGGTGGTAATGATTAATGAGAGGTTTAGTTCTCTTATTAAATGGTTCTTGTAAAAAAAAAAATATTAGTTTTTCGGCTCTGCCTATAGATAACAACAGAATATTGGAAAATACAAATTAATCATCACCAACATCTTTATTATTTATTCGTAATCTATCACCAAGATTGAGTCATTTTAAGAAGGCTGTAGACTAAAGCAAACAAGATATTTGTAAATAGGCCTTTAGCCTGTGGAATATTTTACATCATATGATCATAGTCTATTTAGACCCTCAGTGTCATAGTCGAAGGTATAAGCTCAGACAGATTATGACAGGCCCAAAACATTTTTTGCACAAAATAAAGACAACAGTTTACACTTTATTGTATGTTTTAATCGCAACAAGGTTCAACCACTAATAGGGGTGTAACAATACAGCAAAAACCGTATTGCAATATATTGCCATTTTGCTGAAGCGTATTGCAATATATTGCAATACGTATTGTCGTGTATATGTTTTGATGTAAAGATGGAGTAACATTTATATATTAGTATTATATGTATATATTTTTAGTAGAAACTTAATAAAAATGTAAGGAATAAATAGAAAGTAGTGTCACACAATTTGATAAACAAAACTAGTCGCGTGTGACCTTTCACATCTGGGCCGCTTATGTAAATTATGCGGCCGCTTATTGACTCTTAAGTGTACTAGTTGTCGGTTACTTATATCTTACGTTGGCACCAACAAAATTTGCCAATTAAAGATTTTATGTGAAATTTGTACAAAATGAGAAGGCAATTAATTGAAAATTATGATTTTTACAAAATACCGGTTTTCCAAAAATCGTACCGCGGTTCAAAATTTATTTTTTCATATTGCAATATATATGTATACCGGTAAACCGTTACACCCTTAACCACTAACCTCTGAAACTTATTAGTCCCCTACCGGTTTACCGGAGGGGACTTTAGGTTTACCCTCCGTCCGTCCGTCTGTCTGTCAGTCCGTCCGTCCACAAAACTGGATCCCGCGATAACTTGAAAAGTACTGAAAATATTTTTATGAAACTTGGTATATGGATAGATGGCAGTATGGAGATTATGCACGTCTTTTTCTTTTCTTCCTATGTTGAAAATTCTGGTTGCTATGGCAACAAATAGGCTGAAATTATGGCAAATTTTACACATAAACTGGATCCAGTGATAACGCAAAAAGTACTGGAAATATTTTTATGAAACTTGACATATGGGTAGATGGCAGTCTTGAGATTATGCACGTCTTTTTCTTTTCTTCCTATGTTGAAAATTCTGGTTGCTATGGCAACACATAGACTGAAAATATGGCAAATTTTACACATAAACTGAATCCAGTGATAACTCTAAAAGTACTGGAAATATTTTTATGAAACTTGACATATGAGATTATGCATGTCTTATCTGTTCTTCCTATTTTGAAAAAAATATCTGTTGCCTTGGCAACAAATAGGCTTAAAACATGGCAAATATAACAATATTTGTGATTAGTCAAAAAGAGCTGAAAATTTTTATGAAATTGCATCTTTAATTCAAGAGTTATCTCCTCTTTAAGAATTTTGCTTTTAAAATGTTATATTTTGGTAACAGGGATGTTTCAAATATTAACTTTAGAGTGTCCTTCAGTCCGTCTGTCTGTCTGTTCATAAAAACTGTTTCCTGTGATCACTTTTAAAGAACTTTTCCAACAAATTTACTTAAAATAGAGAAATATTGAAACATTAGTGAATGGCCAATGGCCCCTTCAGAATGTTGATGGGGTTCTAACCGGTAGGGGACTTATGGATTGCTTGCAATACTATGATAATTCCTTGTTAACTTATGGTTTCTTTCCAAAACGTAAAATTTATCTGTATCTGTGGCTTAATGTATAATCATTAATGGTAAGTTGACCTGTAAATGATTTTTGTGTCTCCTGCTACACAGAAGCTGCAACATGCTCACAGTAGCATCATCTTTCAGTACAACTGCTGACTGGCTGTCATCAGGTGACACACGATCAGTGATTTTTGTATGCACAAGTTCCAAATTTCCAAATTTAAAAATTCAGAACTGATTTCTTAAGTCAAAAACAGATCTTCATTCCATTATGACTAAATTTTTCAATGTATTACAAAAAAATTATTATTTAAAAAAATCAAATACAAAAACAAATCAATATATTGTTGGACAAGAAAAGACTACCCGGCTACCAATCTGTTGCAGTTTTATTCATCAATAAATGCATTGTTCTAGTATTTAGAAATGATAAAAAAAATGTTTGATGCAATATGATGTTATTTCCTCAAAGAGCAACAAAAGATACAGTCTTGGGTTATTTCCTCAAAGAGCAACAAAAGATACAGTCTTGGGTCCGTACATTTTGCCTTGGCAATTGATTGTCTAAAATTGGTAAAGTCTTTATCCTTGAGTTGCCTGACCAATTATGAAAATGATAGACTTGATAATTTTTGCATTTTTAAGCAGAAATTTTTCTAAAGTTTTGCAGAAATCTCCTTTAGTTATGTTGACTGTTCGATGTGTTTTTATGTGTGTGTTTTTTGATGCACAAAATCAAAGGGAAAAAACATGTAGTAAGAGTTTTTTTCTGCAAACTTGACCGTAATTAATTTGTTTTTAAATTTAAAAGTTTTGATGTATCAAATTCTTTTAATCATTTGATTAGGCTGTATATTGAAACATGTGTATGTTAAGGTTAAACATTTTGAACAGAGAGGGACCTTGTAGTTCACAGGAATTGAAAACACTTTGTAAGTTAATTTGAAGGAAAAAATGCAAAATTAAAAAAAATCCTGATGGGAAGAAGCCTCTAAATGGCTCATGCTATGAAAGGTAAAAAAAGTCCTGCAACTTAACATAAACATAAGATAGCATGTGCTTTATATTATAAATGCACATTTATATAAACTCTGGTTAGCATATTAAAGTAGCATGCTTTAAGAAAAAACTGAATAGAATTAGATAAACACAGTCATGTTTAAATCTAACTCTAATTACACAAATTATTTTTTTTTTTCTCCAAAATAAGTAGGATTAAGATCATCACAAAATGTCTGAAATGAGGTTAAACAGGTTCATGTTAAAACATTTTTACCATTCCAGTTAGGTCTTGTCATTTAAGTCCAAATTGAATAATCTGTAAATAATTGCAGTGTTTTGAATAGCCCTAAATTTTGTTAGGATATGAAATGGATAGTCCTTAGATTTCCCTGCAAAATATTATGCATAGCCTGAAAATTCTTAGTAAGTTACTGAACACATTCTGAAAATTTCTAACATTCCTTCCAGAAAGTGATGAAAAAGTACATGACAAGACAAATGATTTTATATTTTCAGGGTATGGGTTGGATGATGGCCTTGACTGTGATGAACCATTCGGTGCTGACGATAACTTGTCTCCGTTACAAAAATTAGAAAAATATATTGAAAGTGATAATGTTTATACAAGGTACCATTTCCTTTATTGTTACAGATTGAAAATGTGCACCTTTGATACTGTTTACAAACTCTACCTTATGGCTCTCTTGTTGGTAAACTCTATTTGCCAAATCGAGATAAATTTTTTACAGAAAGTTTGGTCTTTACTTAATACTTGCAAATTAAATAAAATATTGTTATATCAAGTAAAAAGAAAACAACAACAACAAAACAACATTTTGTACTTATCTGTCTTTGAAAGCATATGTAGGCAGTGTGAGTAAAAGTTTTTTAAAATGCATATTTGTAGACAAATGGTTGCGAGAGGATTACTTGATACCTTGCGAGCGGTTGGTGATTCTGAGGAACAGACCACTGCAGTACTCACTGCTATGGTCAAGTTGTCCGAAGATTCGGGTAAGTCTTACATTTTGCTCTAGTGTTACTAATTGTAAAGATGTATTCAAGTCTCTGCGAGTTAAAACTAGGGAAAAAAATGAAATAAGACGATGGTGATCATACTTACAAAAATGACTTTGTCTTAGGAACTTGCACAATCATTCAGATCTTATTGTTGCTGGGTTAAAATAGGATTATTATGTCTCCCCCACCTCGGGGGGAGACATATTGTTTTTGCCCTGTCCGTCAGTCCGTCCGTCAGTCCGTCCGTCCATTCTTCGTTTCCGGACGATAACTAGAGTTCCTTTTGACCTACAGCCCTCAAACTTCATAGGATGATTGGTCTTATAGAGCTGATGATCCCTATTGTTTTTGGGGTCAGTAGGTCAAAGGTCAAGGTCACAGTGACCGTTGGTCAATTTCTCGTTTCCGGATGATAACTAGAGTTCCTTTTGACCTACAGCCCTCAAACTTCATAGGATGATTGGTCTTATAGAGCAGATGATCCCTATTGTTTTTGGGGTCAGTAGGTCAAAGGTCAAGGTCAAAGTGACCGTTGGTCAATTTCTCGTTTCCGGATGATAACTAGAGTTCCTTTTGACCTACAGCCCTCAAACTTCATAGGATGATTGGTCTTATAGAGCAGATGATCCCTATTGTTTTTGGGGTCAGTAGGTCAAAGGTCAAGGTCAAAGTGACCGTTGGTCAATTTCT